ACAGTGCCATTAATTTAAATTGCATGTTAATACAACCCATAGATATACACCGTACGGTCACTCTGAAATGACAGGAAGTAATAGGACAAATACATGCAAGGAAAAAGAGAAAATGAACAGAGGAGAGTCAGAGATACGCTGGATCAAAGATAAAGATGAAAAGAAAACCCAAGATAAGAAGAGCAAACAATGGAGCCGCTGAGGAAGCGAGAGAATGAAAAGACAAACTCAAGATCTTACTGTTTGTCCTCCGCCTTGGCCCTCCTGAGTCTGTTATTAGTTTTATTGGAAGAAGCTTGGTTTATTGTCCCACATATTGATTTAAGTGTGTAGGGGATGAATGACTTTGACAAAGTACAGGGCTTTGTTCTCCATATCTCTGCTACATCTTAAAGGTCAGTAACTACAGAATGATACCATGTCTTTCTCGTCATTTTTATGTACAGTCCACCACTGCATGACTTTAGAGATAACCCAAACCATTCATTTTTTAAGATAAAATATAGAAGCAAAAGTAGAATATCCAATCTTAACATTCTGTTTATAGCTTGTTGGAAACCATATTATTACGCACATAATATGTGTTGCAGCCAATTCTCAGTGGTTTACTGGCTCAATACAAATCTACCCTGGAGCTATCTGTTCCTTGTAAATAAACTTGTTTATAGGGTGATGCATTGTTAATGAGCTCAAACATAACAAACACATTTTTTTACATTTTTTCATAACTTTTGATCAATAAAGACTAAAGGCTGAAAACAAGCACAAAGGAAAAATGCAAAAGTTCATAATTTGTAAACTAATCCTTTGCCCTCGTCTTAAAGAAAATACTTTTGTGTGTTCATCCCTTAAAATAATTTTAGCAACTGTACCTAGTAAATTTGATTGTAGATGACTCTTAAAGGGGCCCTATTATGGCCCATGGATCAATGTCTACCTTAACGTACAAAAATTGACCACAATGCCACACATTATCTTCACACTTTTTCATAGGAGTTGTTCTTGCAGAAGGGACCAATGAGAGTAATTAAGCATGTAATGTGAAGTGATAGACTTAAAAAAAGGTCCTTTAAATCTGCGTTTACCTGTAGTGTGAATGCTCCAGCTGGTAAGTACTGCACAGTTGACTGCAGGCATCGCTAAGGACACTTTAATAATAAATGAAGCCTCCATGATCTTGTTCAGACTTGTAATTGGTGTTGGAGGCAACGAATTGGAAGTGTCTGTATGTGTGAGTGTGTTCACGTCTGTGTGTGGCCACATGTGTAATTAAAGTTTCCATTTGTAAACCCTATGAAGTGTCAAGAGTAAACAAGAATGTAGCTGCTGAGTCTCTCTCACCCTGTGGGGCTGATGAGACAAGAAGCTTTTGCTCCATGACCACACTGCATGGAGCTGTGTGTGTTAGAGCTTGTATCCACCAGGAGTTACAATGAGTGTGCAGAAAACAGTTGATGACTGTGATTTTGGGTGCAGCTTGGCTTAACCTGCAGGCCACTTGGGTGCTCCTTATGAGCATCATCTGAATAAATTCTACCTATTTAATGTCATATGTCACATCAATTGTGTTTATTAAAGGATAATATTTCAGTATGTTTGTGTATGATTTTCTTTTAAAAGATCCTAATCTTTTATACTCTCAGATTACCACCCACGTGTGAGTGACATTTGATTGATTTCAAGCGAGATGTTTGATGTACTTTTTAAAGTAGGTTTGCTCACCCTTAAATTCATACCATAACCTTTAACAGGAGCTGGTGTTTCAACCATTTACATTACATTATTTACATGTCACTTGTTAGACGCTTTTATCCAAAGCGACTCACATACTCAATACTGTGGACAATCCCCACAGGAGCAATTTGGGGTGAAGTGTCTCAGGGACACAACGACATGCAAACAGTGGGGTTTGAACCTGTGACCCCCTGATCCGAACACCGACACTCAACCCACTGCACCACACGCCTCCCATTTATCTATTACTTTAAGGGTGTTTGAATCAAGTCATTATAATTAATCATTTGCCTTTGGAGTAACAGCTGATTCTGGCTGATGAGGGTTCTGTGCCATCAGTTATAACTGGTCATTTAAGATCATGTATAAAAATATCTTTAATATTTCTAGTTTTTTTTCGAAAAAAGCACTTTACATATAATAAAACCCAAATGCAGCAACACTACAACTAAATCTACTAATAAACAGAGATACAATGTTGAACATTTTTCAGTGCAAAGGGAGTAAAAGTATGTTTTTAGAAAAAATTAGAAAGATAAATGTGATTTTGCAAATCCAATGTCTTCAGAGTTTGTTTCATAACCCAGCCGCCAATAGAGAAAGTGCACTCACCTTTAGTCTTAATACTGGCCTGTACTCCTACCGAAAGGGTTGCTTGAGGATAAAAGGCTCATAAAAAGTTAAAAGGTCAACAATAAATCTAGGGGCTAGGCTTTTATGTGCTTTAAAACTAATCATTAAAATCGTAAATCAATGCTAAATAATAGAGAAGATATGCTCACACTGGCGTACCACGGTCTCTGTGTTTGGTGCCAGTTAATATTGATGCTGCAGCCTATTGAACAAGCTGCCTATGTGAGATTCTCTCTCATTGAGGCAGGTAAAGAGGGAGAGCTGTGAAAGTCTAAACAAGACAACATAAATGTTCTTCTCTAAATCAGCATGGGATTAGAACAACTTCATTTATGAGCAGAAGTCAGCAGTATACATATTGCCCAAAACCCCAAATAACACATTTGTATCAAGTAGGTTTACAATTTGGGCAGCAACTCTCCTTAAACGCTTAATTTGGCAGCTGTTAGATGGTAAATACAATGAAATCCTGCCTCACGCAAATTTGTTTTCATATGTGTTTGGTTATTTCTCTCCAACTGGAACCTATAGTAAATAGCTAAATTGTAAAAAATAAATGTAATAATCCTGGATTGATGGATGAATGTATGGATGGATAAGTGATCATCATCTAAATACACTTTACAATTATGAACTAATATTTTGTTATCTATATATTTCAGCATTTTCTTGTAACTCAGATTTTTTTCCAGATGTCTTAACACCTTTGTCCCGTGTGCATTAGTCCTATACTGCCCCCTATTGTTTAAAGCTTAAACAGTTACCCCATTCTGTTGAATGGCACAATATGCCCTGCAGTAAAATAAAGAATGTCCTGAGGAATGCTCTGTTAACGGTTGTGATGTGATTGTTTAAAATATATAAAATCCAGTTGCTCTTGGCTGTGAATTCAATAAAGTAATAAATGTTGTGTTTGTATTGTCTCATATTGATTAGGGTGTGGAAAGACAACACTTCTCTATTGAGTTGTTTCTCCTGGGCCCTGAGGTAAAAGCAACTTAAACCACAACAGAAATACTCCAACAATCACAAATCAAAGGAGGAAATACCACAGCTGTATGACTGCGATGAGCTCTGTGAGAAACTATTCAGTGACTCCTATCTAAATATTGCACACCTATGTTAATATGCAGAGTTGATATGAATATTGGTACACCCATGGTTATGGTATGAATATGAATTGTGCCCTTGTGTTATATACATATATAATCTTCCTGTTTTCATATGTGCCATTGACAGGTCAAGGGCAGCATACACAATGACATCTATCATTCAATCAGAATATATGTTTTTTTCCCCCACACATCAAAGATCATTTTTATTCTGCTGCGAACGGCTCAATGGGGACCACTGAGGGTTGGAAGTGAATGAATCTTGGATTAAAGTGTGTGCAGATAACAAAAATCTTATCACCTCTTCCTCCATCTGCTCAGATATTATCAGGTGAATTGGGAGGAAAAAAACCCTCTTTTATCAGGTCCCAGCACTCTTTCAGAAGGTGTTCGTATTGTGGCTTGTCGTTTCACTCGGCAGCCAGACAAATTAAAACAAATTAGTAGATCTGTGTTTTCTAACAATAATGAACAGAACAGGAATGTCAACAAACCTAAAATTAAAAGCCAACTTAATTTCACACTCATTTCACTGCTTGTCAAAACTGATTTGTCTCACACAATCCGAAATGTATTGTGTGTGGTAGCCTATAGGAAATTGACTAAAGCTTGCTTATCCTCCTCTGCCTTCACATCACATGTTGGCAGTCAAGCCAACAACATACTTAGAAATCTAAAATGTAGTCGTCAAAAAAGTTGGATTTCGAGAGTATTTAAATATAATAGGCTACTTCCACTATGTGCTGCAAGTCTGGGAACATTTAAATACAAATGTTCGTCCTTGTTTGGAGTCAAGATAATAAACAAGTTGAAAGAAGAAGCCCACTTTTGCTTTGAAGAAAACTGGATGGAATTTTGTGACATGACCAAAGGCTTTGGTTAGGAAATGCATTCTGCAGATATTTACATAATGGACATCTGTCTAGTTAGCAATTCATATCAGCAACTGTTTTGGTTATGAATTATGAGCACAATTTGTTTGGGAAGCACACATGTCTATCAGATGGGTTATCTGTGAGCAACAAACATGTATATTTGCATATCCAGCAGCTCATAAATACAGAGAGCTTCACACTGTTTTTTTTTTCTTCTTTTGAACATTTAGCTTCTTTTGAACATTTAGTTTTTAGTGGTTTTTTGTCATTTAGATCTGTCAATATTTAGCTGAAATTAAATTTTTTATTTTTGGATGTAGCTGGATTTGTATTTGATTCATTGGGTTCAGCATGCATGCTATTGGTGACAAGTTGGTGACTGGCCCTATAACATTTAATCAACTCAAAATATGAAGCACCAGTCTTCATTTTGCCAGAACACTGCAAATATGGCATGGGATTCTGTCTTCAAAATAAAAGCATACATTTTGGTCGTTTCAGGCAGCATTTTTATTGATGTCACAAAGTGACCTACGTTTTTGTATTTTGATAGTTTTACCCGAAAATGTGGCTGCTGCAGTACTATATCAACTTGACCGTCAACTAACCCTTTTGTTTTGAAAGTAGTTCCGGCAGCTTTAGCCACTTGTTGCTAGGTAGCCTAATGAAATGATCTCTCAACTCGCGTTAGCATTTAGCTTAAACTAGCTAGTTAGCTTTTTAACTTTAGACATTCATGTAAGTACAGAGGAAGTTATGAGGTAAGAATATGTTCTTTTTGTATATATTGAGCGTGAATGCTAATTAACAACGTTTTATTCACGCTGTTAAATCTGGCATTATCAAATAATGTATCTGAAGCACGATGTGTAGCCTGTGTTTTTGTTTTGTTTTTAAATGGTAGCTAGCATAGGATACTCTTTGACATGTTTAAATAATTCATGTAATTATGTATCACACTACACATATTTATTTATATATCAGTCTTAGACATCATTTGGATAAATAATTCATAAATCAAATCAAATGTTCTGCTTTCAAAATCAGAAACAAAGTTAAAATAGGGCTACAACAGTTGTATAGGCAACATTTAATGACATTATATATCAATTTTTTGTATGTAAAATATTTTTCTGTGAAATAATGACAAACTAATTGTTAATACAGGTTGTAGAACAAGAGGTATACTATTTCCCTCTGAAATGAAGTTAAGCCAAAGTGTAAAGAAGCGGATAATGATTCGGACTGTGCTTGCAGATAATACTTGAATACAAACAGGGCACCTTACAAGACATATTATTAATAGTTTCATTTTGTTGCACCTGACCTCTACCCATCTTCTCATCCTTTTCTCTCTTCACATTTCTCAATATGCCTCCAGCTCTCAGGACAAGGGTCCCCAGGAGCATCGACAGGAGACCCGACAGGAGACCCTGCAGCAGATAGCAGCCAAAGTAATCCAGAAGGCCTGGAGAAGACATGTGGTGGGCGTACACACTGTAGTACATGCAAACATAAAAGTCAACAGACATTAACTTAAACTGTTTCTCTTTTCCAAACTGTAGTGCATAGAGGTGTTCAAGTATGTCAAACATCTTATCAACGAGTGCAACCAGCGCGATCCCAAGAAGATCCTAAAATCTGTCAATCCTCGAGAGGTAACAGAAATGATACTCCCTATAAAATGAAAAGAAGAAATACAATAAATAGTGAGATTTAATTTCCCTGTGGCAGGCAGAGTTGCTGGATGCTGCCGCTGGCGTGTTCATCAGATTTCGACTTGGAGGGGTAGGAGCAACATAATGAATAAGCGCTAAATCCCCTTACAGCTAAGTAAATGTGCTAATCAGACATACCTGATTACATTTTGCTAATCCTTTTTCCTCAAGATTACCTTTCCACCCAACATCTATTACAAGATCTACACCCATCGACCCATTACTGATATGTGTGCCAGCAGCCCGAAGGACTACACCCAGCCAGACCTGAAGAAGCCTGCGGCTCAACAGAATAAACAAGGCCAGCCTCTTAAGCAGGAGGACCGATCAGGATGGTACCGGCGATTGGAGAACAACAGCTGGAGGCTCTTCTGTAGCAAGGTGAAGAGCGTGTCAGAGAAAGTTATCAGTTCTGCCTGTTATTTATCTGTAAAGAAAAGTATGCACTACAGATGCAGTGTTCCCCCTATATACATTCAACAGTAATGCTGCTGCTTTTTTTTGGTATACATTAAAATAATAACACGTGGCGCTCTCCTCATCGCCACGGAGGAGCACACACACAGCCTCTGTGAGCGAGCGAGACAGAGAGAGAGCGAGAAAGCTAGAGAGAGCACACCTTTATCTCTTTAATATAGTTGTAAAAAATAAAGTAAGAAATCATTCCAATGTGTACTATAGGACAGTAAAAAAAAAAGTTTAAAAGGGGAGTGATTAGTAAAATATGCATAAATAAAAAGAAAGAATGCTAACTAGGTAACATAAGATAAGAATAAACAAGTTTAAATGATTTGTTATTGGTTGTGATCATATTCTAAAGATTTTTGTATTATTGAAAAGTATACCGCTCCCTTTCATATGAGTGTTGAGAGCTGTATCCATAAATTCATTTTGTGCTCAAAGTGCACCAGATTGATGCATTTCACTTCAACATTTAAAAAAAGAATCTTCCCGGGGGTGCATGAGGGGACCCCCCTAGAGGAGGTGAGGTCCACCCCCAAATAAAGCAGGTTAAAATAATTAAATTGCATACATTTTATTTTGATTGTTTGTTATGTGGATGTGTAGTATNCTCAAAAGCGGCTCAAGGCCCTCTCCGCTGAATATCACTCAATGCTTGACTCAGATTTCCCCCTGCCCATCATTAGCTCCAAATAGAAAAAAAAACAATGTTGTAATCTAATTAAGGCTTTGACCAATTAAGTATTCAAAGCTTTTATTGAAAAAGGTTGTAAGGCAGACAATCTTTTGTGTTTTGAATTTTAGAAATAAATACATCTATTTTTATTTATTTTTTATAAATGTTGACTTGTGGACAATGCTCAGGAACAATATGCAGCCATCAATGGAATGTAGTCCTAAAAGTAGGGCTGCTCGATTATGGCAAAAATCATAATCTCGATTATTTGGGTCAATAATTGTAATTGCGATTATTAATGCGATTATTCATTGACTTTGAAAACATCAGTTTATTGGAGAATTTTTTTTTTTAACAGTATGTTTTTAACAGTTGATTATCCTGAACTTTAAGTATAACTCAACTGAAAAACCAAAAAAAATATATATATATTTGAAAAAACTAAAGTAATAATAATCGTTTTATTTCGATTACGTTGTTTTCGTAATCGTTGCAAGCCATAATCGTAATCGCGATTAAAATACGATTAANTAAAACTGAACATTTTAGAGTGGCCTTTTATTGTGGCCAGCCTAAGGCGCAACTGTGCAATAATCATGCTGTCTAATCAGCATCTTGATATGCCACACCTGTGAGGTGGGATGGATTATCTTGGCAAAGGAGAAGTGCTCACTATCACAGATTATTTTGTGTATATAGAAAATGTTTTAGATCTCTGAGTTCATATCATGAAAAATGGGAGCAAAAACAAAAGTGTTGCATTTATATTTTTGTTCAGTGTAGCTGACAGAAGAAAAAGCTAGCAAGATCAAATGCAATAAAAACTACCTTAAAATATTCATTGGTGTTGAATACTATCTAAGTAAGAATCCAATAAAAAGAACATTAGGAACAAAAAGTGGTATTGAAGAAGTGTCACATTTATACGACTTGGCTGTGGGGAACATCAGACAGTAAAACTCTGGATCTCATTGGTCTACAGGACACAGTGCGTCTGCCTCTCAGGCGTCCTGTTCTTCGGAATAGAGACTATTGGGACTTTAAACACTTTCCCTTGTTTTTCACTAATTAGATCTTCAGCGTTTTCGGGCAGTCGATTTCCTTAAACACTTCCTCGTGTAATTTTGGGTTTACCTTTTAAGTTTGGCTCTTGGGCATTGGCAAGCGATTTCCCTTGCTCAGGATGTTCATCGTTTGTGTAAAATGTGCATTATCCTCTCTAAGACGTATTAAGGGCTTATTTCGGTAAGACACTCAGGCTCTTTAAATCAGAACCCGGCCTGCTTGCAAGCGTAGTCCACCATCTTTATTCTATGAAGTGCACACCACAGCCAAGAGGGTTTTGGCCGAGGCTGCAGAGTTTTTCTGCTCCATTATTCTAATTGCCTTTAACCTGTAATCAATATTTACGACACAGACAACCTAAAGGCTTGAAGGACTAAGCATTTCTTCCTTTTCTCTGGGCTCTGATTTGATTAAGAAAGACTGCAGGCAGACTGATAGTGCGCTTACTGGTTATATTTTAGGACAAAATGGTGATTTGTATCCAAAGGATCACCGTGATAACTATTGACTTCCCACTATTCTTGTGTCTTCAGAAAGATGCATGCCTCCAAGTGAATTGAACAATCTGCCCAATACGATCGCCCTTTGTCATGTATTGTTTGTGAAATGCGAAAGAGAACTGAAGAATGAATAAAAAGGTCAGAATGAAAGGTGAAATCGAGGCGAGGACGCATTGACAAAGATGAGAGAGTGCAGAAGAACGCGGGTAAATGGGAGGAGGAAGAAGAGGAAAAAGGGCCGGTGGAGGAGGAGAAACAGTGAGAAATCAAGTCTCCAGAGAGTGAAAGGCCAACAGCCCACGCTGTGATTCCATCTGGCCTCCTCGCCCAGCATGTGTGTGTGTGTTTCAGCGAAGGGAAGCGCGCCAGAGCGAGAAATGACCCTGTATATGTGTTTGTGTATGTTAGAGTGTTTTTGTGTGAGTACATGCCTGCTAGTCTGTGTTTGCTTGCTAGTTCACGCATGCATGGCTACAGTGTGTGTGTATGTGTGTGAGCGTGTATGTGTGTGAGTGTCTGATGTCAATATACAGTTTGAGGATGGAAGTGTACACTGCCCCTCGGCGCTACAGTGCGTCTCATTGCCTGACCTGAATAAGGCTGAAATAAGTCGATGGGGACACATCTGTGATACTGACGGTACATGCTGCTAGACACCCGGGGGTACGAAGCAAATGGGAGAAAAACGTCATCTTATAAATATTTATCATTTTGAGTTCTTGAAGACCTATACCAAAGGTCTGTACCAATGTCTCCAACTTCGCAGATTCCATTGTAAAAGCACAGAATGTGCTATGGTCACAATCATTTTTGAGAATAGAGACAGTTTAACTTTCCTTTTAATTGAAAAAATGTGTTCATTTGAATTCTGAGAAAAAGAAAACACAGTTTTCAACACTGTATTGCCCTCAGAGAAATGTTAATCCATTGCATTTTATATTAACTTTACCTCTAATATTTATTCAGCTGCCTCTTACTTTTCTATCTGTCAAAGTGTACAGTATATATTTTACAAGGCAAATCATCATGTTTCCAATGAGTGTTGGACACGTGTCATCTCCTAAAAAGAGTGTGATCTGTGTAATTGGTTTTCTGTATGCCTAAATCTCAGTAAATGTGCGATTTATTGCTCTCATCTCCCTAAGTAAACCTCAGCTTAGGAAGGTCATGTTGGTAATGTTCTGCTATCAATGCACACAGAGATGAGTTGTTTTAAATTTGTGTTGATATATTTAGAAATAACCCATTGAGAGTTTACTATGATGTACATATATTTTTTGAGTACAAAATGTTTTCATATTGAAATGTTATTCAGTATGTCCATGCTAGCATACGCCCAGCACAATGTAGCCTCAGTTACCCTGAACAATCCTGGGAACATTTACTATCCAGGGAGCATTTCATGTAAATGGCTTACAGTAAACCGGCGGCATGAAAAGGATCTCTTGCCTTTTACAGTGCCCTTTTGACCTAGTTCAGCTCACTAAAGATCCACACTTTACAGTGTAGTGCTGAAAACAGTGATAGAAAAAAATGCAAGCCTACCATCATAATCCCCTCTGCTTCAATAACAAATGGTGATGAAACAAACAGCTTCTCCAATCCCTCAGAATCCTCCCGTCTACACTCCCCGAGCAATGTCTTGTCCCTGAACATCCCCTGACCCACTTCTTGCATAACAGGCAGTCTGATCAACAGTCTGAAGGCGTCACCAACTACAGCTGTATATAGAAATGTGACCAGAAACATAACAAAAGAGAGAGAAAAGAGTTTATTGACTGTGAGTATTCAGCCGATTCTGTATAAATAAGAGAAATTGAAGCCATTTGTGCGGGGTCATTTAGTGATGTAATGTTAGCCTCTTATTTGAAAGAAGTCCACACAATTAGCAGATTGACATTTTTGTCTGATTTAAATAGAAATAATATGTATAATTGTATGTATTTAAATAGGGCCACTGCTCTGTCTGTCTGTCTTTGTTTAAAATAGTGGTATCTTATTTATGGTTTTCTATTATTTTCTATTTATAAGTTCAAAATGATAATATAAAAATCTGCGAAGTTAAATATTTATTAAAACTTTCATGTATGAACTTATTTCACATACACTTAAATTGCACTTTTTGAAAAATCTTAAACCTAAATCAAATGTATTTGGGTTTCAGTTGCATCCATCACTATGTAACATGAGTCTGTTAGAACTTATGGTATGAAACTAGGGATGCCAAAAAACAAGTGTTGCACGTTTTTACCCAGCAGCATGAAGCAGTCCTTTTCTCTCGTGACTCCAAAAAGGGTCATTAAAAGTGCCAATTCCAACAATATGGCTCAATGTGATGAATTCGTTAGTAAACACTAAAATAGGTTTCAAAGATGCTGCCAACATCATCTTGGCAGATAAATATGATGACAATTAAAAGCCTGTGTTTTCATCAGCCTCTTCTAAAGGTCCTCCAAACCGCTCCCCCTTCACCTTTACCGAGGTTATTGGCAAAGAACAGACACAGCAGAACTTCCTGTCGAGAGTCACGGACATATACAGGAAGATAAATATAGAAAAGGGAAAGAATGCAAAGACATATATTTGTATCTACTTTTTTTTGAGATCATTTATAGCAACATAAAGTATCTGTAATACAACCATCTGATTTCATTTAAAACCAAAGAGCTTCAGTGTGCTAATTCGCACAGTCAAACCAGATGCCGGCGGAAAGATATTTTATTTTGCCTTGTGGATCCAGACAGGGTGCCCTTTTACTGGGCTGCAGTAAAGAACGCCAGCCTCCCCCAGCTATTCATTACCTTAAGTGTGTCTGCAGCAGACAGTGAGCAGGGAGCGTTCAGAGGCATGATGGGAAAGACTGCTGAAATGAGCATTTCAAAAAGGGAAGATCTGACGGGACGCAGTGAATAATGAGAGGATCGTCTGATTAGGATTTCTGACATTAGCTTATTGACGTACAAATACGAGGTTTTTTATTCTAAAAAGGTCATCTATAACTTGGCCCCCATTTAAGAGTCTGATACTGTCTCAAAAATGTACTTCCAGGGGCAGAAGTGTACAGAACTTGGCAATACTTTTTGCTTAACTCATAAGATTTGATAGTTGTAGCTATACGTTGTTTACAGGAGCTGGATTATCGTGATAGCACAAGATAATGCATCCTCTCACATTTCACAAAAATCTGTCTTGTCATGCTTCAAGTTGTGCGGTATGTGACAGGGACACAGAGATGTAGCCGTTTTTATAAACAAAAAAAAAGGCGGGTTTCGTAAAAGCTAGGGTGGACGCTGCAATAGCCATGCTTTTCTGGTTATGACCCGTCCCCTTGTGTGTTATGTAGCTTCTTCTGCATGTAAACGGTCTGCAGAGTCACAAACCCTCAAAGTACACCCTGTAGAGAGTTAAACTCTAACACAGAAAACACCTGTCTATGCTGCCCCAGAACGCCTCGTTGGACATTTTTCTTTTTACATTTTTTTCTTCCCGAGTATGGTGACGTAACCATGCCCAGGTCCAAATGGACCAATCCGTGGAGCTTCTCACACACTCACTCAGCCTTATCTTTTCTTAGCCGCGGCTCCGTGGATCTCCACTCACAGTTCGCCACACACTCACAGCCAGGGTGTGCTCAGGCTGAGTTCCACGGTGTCTCATTGTCTCGCAGACCCCACGCAGCAACCAGGAAACAGGCAGGAGCTCCAACAAGGCGTTTAGGACAGAGAGTGAATACACATACTATACAGAGATGCTGTATGAGAAACCATTGTGAGTTTGGAACATTGAACAATGTAAATATATTCTAGTATACCTCAACAATGGAATTATGATCAGTAGAAATAGCCATGTCATGGGTCCTTTAATTTTATCACAACTTAAAAGTATATCTTCATTGAAAAAAGGGCAAAGAACTTAACTGAAGGCCTTTCCAGATGGAAAATATGATGTTGCTCTTCGCTCAACTGGCTTTGCGTTTGATTGACAGATGGCAAGTATTTTTTTTTAATTGCCTGCTTTGTCCAATCAGTTTTCAGAGACGACCTCTCAGATAGTTCTGTCACAAACATCATGTGCGTGAGGTAATGTTGTAACTGCTTATTATTGAAATTAAAAATAATTTGGTTTCCTGTGCTGGGAATGATTAGGAAAGGTTTCAGCCTCACCTGCAATTTGCACCTTGATGACTGTAATGAGCCAGGAAGAGGAAGAGGCTGATTGAACTAATCCTGTACCTGACTTCCTTCTTGTCCTACTGATTATACAGTAATGTTAAATGGCTGATATTGCTTAAGCGAGACAGGAGGAGGAACTTTGCGAGTTTGTGTGGTCAATTTACTCATCAAGAAAACCTCATAGTTTGTCATAAGGTCAAAGTAACACAACAAATCATTTGTGTGCGGGTTATATGACCCAAGTTAAAATAAAAATAGCTCTCACAGATGTATTTTCAACTTTTGTAACCAAATCAAGCGAGTGGACTATGTTTTACTACTTGGAAATGTAGTGCAAGTGTGCGCATGAGACATATTCCCTCAAAGCCAACACCTGCAGCAGCGATGCAGCCAACCAAGCAGAGACACTTGTGATTTATCTGCATCATCAAAATGAATTGTTACTCAGCCACATGAATGGGAAGCTAATCAATCTTAGTTTGTACAACTCAGGAAAATAAATGTTTCCCTGCCAAGGTAACCTTTTTTCTCTAAGAGTGGTGTAAAATCTAATAGAAATCTGGATGAACACACAGTCTAGACTGCAGGATAGATACTCTTTCTTAATACTCAAAAAGTATTCTTCATTTTTAATGGGAGTCTTTCAGGCAATAAGTAGATAGATAGAGCACGACCTACTACTTTAATTGGTTTTCATGTGATGTTTGCTGGCAGTATAATTTAGTTTAGTTGCTTGTAAATTATCATAGTTGTTGGCGAATAAAAATGTATAAATAGACATATTGGTCTAGAAGTGAAATAAAAGCAACTATTGTTGAGTTTATATCAATCAGTGTGCAATTACCTTCCAATCAAACCAAACCAAGACACCATTTGAGAACAC